AAAGGCCTTGGGTACAAAATAGTCATCAGTCCTAATACCCTCCCACCTCCAACCTCCCTCCCCCAAACCCACCCTATGTACTTGGGAAAAAACCATGAACCCGCCATCAAAATTAACACTAGGATTGCAGGATGTTGTTAAATCTGCACGGTTGCTTTATTGTACAAAAAGTTTCCAATAACAGTAAATTAGTTTTAAAAAAGGACAAAAAAAGGCATGCTGGATAGAAGCGCTTCACTAATTGCTTTATTTAAGCACACAAGGAAAAAAGTCTTATCTGACCAATTAGGTTGGGAGGGTTTCATTACCTTTAGGAAGCCATTAGCCAGGATACAACACTGAAAGCACTGTGTCAAAACAAATAAATAATGCTCTCTCAATTAGCAGAGAGACGTCAATCCATTAGACAAACACTGCTTCGTGCCCACGGCGCAGCCACCCCTCCCAGATTAATAAAACCAGAGACGGGAGATTCAGCCACAATCTGGGGTAAGATCAGGAGCTCTGGAGACCTGACAGTAAATGTTCCCGTCTCTCCTCACAGAGCCAACGGAGCACGTAGAGGGGCAGGTGTCCCTGCTGGCCTCAGCTTGGGGAAATCAAGGGCCCTGCCTTCCTGCAGACGTGGCCTTCAGCAAGGAAAGAGATAAAGCTTCAGGGCAGCATGACTAAGCTGCTCTCCCTGCCCCTGTGCTGACCTGCCCTGAGGAAAGACTCCACAGAAACAGTGTTCTGAGGAGCCCAGCAAGCTGGCGCACAGACCCCAGGCCACTTCCCTCTCCAGGTCATGGTCACGCAGCTGGGGCTTCAGCTGGCATTGCCCTGATTTCGGTTAGAATGGATGGCCCCTCCACCCCAATGAGATCCTTACCATCACTTCTAATCAGATCCATGATTTTACCCAAATGGGTTGGGGGACAAAAGCCAACTCTAATCACCCTATTCACTGAAAATATAAATAAATGCTGATCCTTTCTTAAAGGGTCACTTTCCTTCAAGGATAGTTAAGATAGCTTTAAAAGTTTTAACCGTGATCCAGCATCCCCAGCAGAGACCATCTGGGAGGGAAGCCCCTAGTCTGAGCAGCTCCATCCCCAGGAGCAGCTGGTTGTTGGTTATGGTTGGGTGAGACAAGGACGAAGGCCTACAGCTATCCTCAACCACTGTAGAAGCCCACATTTCAGGGACGATCAAGGAAGGGCTGGATTCTTGTTCCCAGGCCTTCTTTCCTAATAAATACTTGTCAGGAAGCACCATGCTACTTCCTGAAATGCCAGGGGCACCACATCCATAAAAAACCAGTGGCTCCCTGGCGCCATCAACAACCTGAGAAGAAATGGCTGGGACAGCTTGAATCTCTGGACTGGGGTTTACATTTCTAGCAACAACTCCCAAGTCACATTCTAGAGAAGCATTTTACAAGACTGGTCCAAATAAAATATAACACGTTAGAGATAAAAACAATGGAAAGGCCCTACAAAAATATACAAAGACCATTAAAACAATGCTTGCGTCTCAAGAGCAACTGAAACACGAACAGCTTCTGTTTTCAAAGCCATCTTCACTTTCCTGGGGCCTCTACAGGCGGAGCTGTATCTGAGCACCGTATTGATAACAGGGAAAGATGTGACAAAGCCCCACTTGGGTGATCTGATTCGCACTCACTTTACAAACAGGGGACTCCCCTGTCCTGCTTCCCACCACCTGCTGGAACATGCCTACTTTCTGGGCATATTTAGTGGCTATGGGAGAACCAATAAATCACACCTCTGGTGGAATATTTTACTTTGAAATGGAGTGATGTTTGGTTAATCATTTCAGACCCAAATGGGGTGACCCATTTAGAATGGCCTCTGTGTAAATTCACAGTTCATTAAATGGTGCCTGGTTTGAACAGGTCATTATGTGGTTAATATATGAACAATGGATTGAGCGAGGGTGGCTGGGGATGTGTGCAGGGACACCCTGCCCAATTCTGGTGACATTCCTGACACTGTCAACCTCCCGTTTAATTCGAGGTTAGTTCAAATCACCAACTCTTAAATTTCGGTGGTTTTGCTCAGCAATCCCTTTTGGTTTACAGTAGAAAATGTGCATAAATTTTAGATGAGGAATACTCCATTTACAATTAATTTAAACTTATGAAGCTGTTTTAACTGGCCCATCTAAATGTGTTAATTAACATCAATGATGGTTTCTTATTTTTCACACTTTGTTACTCTGATCATTAACAGTGATGGAAAAGCGAAATTAAGGTAATGAGGAATGGATTATAAATTCTTAAAGGACTTCTCAGTTTGTTTTCAACTGGAAAATATAGAGAAAGATGAAGAGGCATTTTTGCCTCTATCCATAAATTTTTGGTACCAAATCCTTAAAAACCAGATGGTTTTCAAAATTTTTTCACCAGAAATGATTTTAACACGCTGCTCAGACATGATTGCTAAGAAAAATAGCTTATTCACAATAATATCGAACAGCTTGTGGAGTGCTGTAAACGTCCCACTCATTTTCTCTTTCTAAAAGATAGTGTAACTGATGACAGCGCTCCATCTCTAGTCTGCAGCAGCACCAAGGTCTGTGACTGCTCCACAATGGGGGAACAGAAGCCGCTCCCCTGGCTCCGGCACTGTGCAGGAGTCCACGAGGGGCTGGTGCCCACGCGAGGCCGGGCCCTCCGCAGGCAGCCAGCAGCCCAGCTTTGGCGCCCGGATCCACGGGGCACACACCGCCCCCGGGCCGCTTAGCGAGACTTCACGCCGACGAGGACAACAATGAGGACAATAATGATGACAAATAATATTAAAATCACAAGCATCTTCCGATTCTTCTTTTGATACTGCTCTGCCTACAGAAAGAGGAGGGAAAAAAGCCGTCATTTTCCCCAAAATCAAGCCTCACTCGTTTTCAGTCCTATCCTCTCTGTGTAGCTGACCTCTTGGCTACAGACTCCTTTATTACAACCTTCCATCAATTCTCAGGAAGCAGCATATGCGGTAGGGTCCCTAACCCGGAGCTGTGCCTCCCAGGCGGCGTGGGATCTGCCACGCACACAAACACAGGGTGAAGGCAGAGGTCAGCCTTCAGCCCACACGAGCCCACTCCCCCTCGCCTCTGCTTCCGCTGCCCTAGGACCCCTCTCTCCAGGAGGCCCTCCGGCAGGCGCACACCTTTCCGATGAAGGCACATGCTGGCTAAGCAGGCCACGGCAGTGATGTGCAACTGCTGGCCCAAAGCGCTGGATTTCTACCTCCCCTGACTATGGCAACAAGGAAAACTCATCCTCTGAAATAAAACTGAGAAACTGCTCCCCTTGGGGTCAAGTACAGAAAGTCCCTGTGCTCCTGATGACACAACACCTCCAGACTTCACCTGCACACACCAGCCCGCCTGTTCCCGGGCACCATGCCTGCCTGCAGAAGTGAGGCCAGAGGAGGGGCGGTGAAGAAGAGAGGGGAGTGTCTCTAACCACATCCAAAGGGCATGCTGCCAGAGACTATTCTGATATTTCACAGTGAAGGACAAGGAAACAGACTGATGAAAATACTATCGTCCTGCCATATCCCCTCCATCTGACTGTAGTTGTTTGCTAAGTGGGTTGCCCTGCCCCCAAGACCACTCCCCGGTCAGAAGGAAACATTAGGACAGACAGGTCTTGAGAGTCCAGGGTGTGAAGCAACTCCCGAGGTTCAATCATCCCTCGATGAGCTGCTGCCAAGGAGATGGCCAGCAATGTGACGTGAGAGATAAGAGAAGCATGCTCACCTTTCCAAGTAACCCAGAGCACCAGGGAAGCCAAGACAAAGTGATATACCTTAAAACCTCTCAGAATGATTTATAAAGGAAAGCCTAAAACAACATTTTTAGTTCCCACTAGATTTATACACTTCTGCAGACAAGCTTTTCCCGTTACCTGTGTAATACTACAAATCATGTTTCACTAGATTTTAAGCAACTTCCCGACCAATGCATAATCCCACAGCAGATCAAAACATGGGTATTAGAGAGTGAGAAACCAAAGTCTGTTTTACTCCTTTACTACACTGGCCGCCAAATGGATCTAAGTGCTTAAACAGCCCTCTGAGCACAGGCAAGCCTCTTCTTCCCTGTCGCAGGCGGACTTGAATGCCCTCTCCCTTCCCCTGCACAGCACCAAGCACACCGAGAGCATGAAGGTCCCTGGGCACAGCCTCGCCTCTCTGCTAGAGGAAGGGCTGGCTTCGGGAAGAGGACAGGACAGCAGTAATGAGGTGGAAAAATGCTCAGGATGTGGCAGAAATACCCATGGGTCTCAAAGATGCAGGGAGATGGACAACACTTATTTTGTGAAGTATTATATTCTTTTTAGAGAAAACAGGCACCCAATTACACACGAGAGCCACTCAGCAGCGTATGGATATGTTTCCCACAAACGATTACCAGAGTTCTACGATGCTTTCCATTTATTTTTAACAAATATCATCAAAAATATTCCTGAAATAGCTACCTTATTAGCAAAGAATAAAAGAGCTAATAACACTTTCACTTCAACAAACTACTCTTTTGTCAAGGTAAGTACACAGATGTACTGTGGTAATTAAAAGGGAAAATTAGATTTCTGTCTTCTCCAGGGTGATTTTCCGCCAGCAATTCATCAGAAAGGTGCCACAGCACAAGAGGCTGCGTCAGCAGCAAGCTAACAGGGAGCTGAACCATATCTCAGCAAATGCAAATTCAACTGATTATCTAAAACAGGAAGACTCAAAGAATGAAATGTTTTCTCAGAGAAGGAAAATAACTTCCAGCCTAAGTGTGAGTGCCCTGGGAACACTAGCTACAGCAAAGGGGCGGCAGCCCACGTGGTCAGCTCTGGACAGCATGACGGCCATGTCCGCACCATCACACTGAGTGATGGCGGGCAAGAGTGCTGAAGACAGTTGTGACGGAAGACAACCCTGATGAATTTCCAATACACGGCAACAGTTCCTCCAGTCCTCAGCCATGGGGAAATAAGGGATTACCTTGTGAAGCTGCTTCAAGCCGTCCTCGGTTTTGATACAGGACTGCTCAACATTATAATCAATTCTATCAAGGACTGTGCCCTGTGGTGATAAATGACAGTGACAGAAAATCAACTACTGCACGTGGGGAAGAGGCCTCAGGAACCCACATGCAGATCGCGATGTCGCCATACACAGGAGGGTCTGTCTGTCTGAGCCTGCTGCCCAGGACATGCTGGCAGCTCTGGGATCACTACCCAGGAGCGTCAGGCATTCAGGGGCAGAGTGTGGTGTCAGCTGCAATCAAGTCTAGCTAATGAGGAAGAAATAGTGATAAATTGAGATTTGTCTTGGATTTTGCTACTATGGGCTATGCCATATTCAAACTTTCTGGTGCTATAAAAAAGATACGGGTCAGTGGGAATAGGCTCTGAGTGACGAAGGACTTGTGTGCCCACCTGCTGCTTAAATACTTGGGATTCACAAGAGCAGAGCACCAGCTTAGCTCGATCGGTTATGATTAGAACCTGACTATCGTGTCTACAGACGTCAGAACAGGTCTCCGTGGATCGGAGCAACAACAGTGAGCTCCAATCCACCATGTAAAATTTCACATCTGCCTCGAGGAGAATTTTGTTCTTAATTGTTTAATCTCTTGGTTCAGACAGAGAGCAGAGACCACTGGCTGTATGGAAGAACAGGGCTCTTAACAGAAACACGCTGCATTAGGGGAGATAGCAAGAGCAGTTCCCTGGGAACCACGGGAGTAATTAATGTAACTAGATCTTCCGTAGCCTCGACACTCCATTCTCAGCTGGTTTCAGGGGGATCAGGACCCAAATCCCTACTGGCGAGATAATAAAATACCCTAATCAGATTGTAGCAGTGAACAAACAATTTAATTCCACTTGAAAGCTAGTGGTTCCAGTCGCCATTACCCAATAACCTGCCAAAATTCGAAGGGAAGCCTTATCTACTGCCAAGATCACTGCTGAGTCTGGGCAGCACTGCCAGGCCCCGGGGGTGGGGGGTGGGGGGGGGCGGGCTCTCACAAGCACCCCTGAGGCAGAAAACACAAGAACTTTACTGACATTTATCTAAAGAACAGTTTGCTGTTTTAAAATACAAAATGGAAGTGGTATATGTATGTGATTTGTATATACATGCATACATTGGGGGAGGAGGTTATGTTTTTCCTGATAGGAGTGCAGAGTCAACCAAGCTTCGAGAAGGACCAGATTTTATGGCAGAAAAACCCATTGATGAGGGAGGTAAACTGATGTACCTGCTCTATAATCATTGCTCCTAAGTCCCGAAAGATCTCATTCAGGTCCGAAATGGACTGCACAATCTGCTGGATCTCCCGCTCCCTCTCCTCCACCATCAGCGTGTTCTGCTCCAGGAGCACCAGCTGGTCATCGGTGAAGCCCTAGGAGAAAGGAGGACAAAATCCACATTAGATCGCCCCCTGGAGAAAGCTTTGGTGTGCCATTTTAGACATAATCTAAAGAAAATGATACCTGAAGACATTTCTATAAAGCACATAAATACTTATTCTTCCCTAAAAGGAAAAACCCAAAATTCCTTAGCAAGTGGCATCTAAAGCAGGAGTGGAGAATCTCCTGCCTGCGGCCACGCAAGGCCTGGCTAGCAGAACCTGGAGGGAGAGCCCTCCATGCGTCTCCCTGAAGCCTCTGAAAAGGAAGAAGGCGTGGCCCATGACTGTCCGTGGCCGCTGTAAAACCCACTTGATGGAACACAAGTCACGCAGCACCGGTCCGTCGCCTTTAAGGCTACGGTCTGTGAAGAGAAACAAACAGAACAAAGCACTTCACATACCCGATCGTACAGAGTATCGTCATCGTCATCATCCATCAGTGGGACTGATGTGTCAAAGAAATGCTGGGATCTCTCCTCTCGGTTCTTCATGCCTAGCACAGATAGGAATCCACTTTACTTGGAACATGTAAAACATCCTGGTTACTGCTCCACCATTAGAGGAAATCTAGATTCAAACTCAATAGTCAAAATGGAGATATCCTCAGCAGCTTTGGGGAAGGAGGGTAGTAGAGACTATAAACATACAACATGTGAAAGACCAAATGACACTGTAAATGTGTACAGTTCACTCGATGCCAAGTGAATAACAAAATGACAGAAACATGAGAATCTCTAAGTGGAGGAGAAATATTTAATCTAACTGCAGCTACAAAACATTAAAAAAAATCACTATTTTTCTCTAGAAGCATCTCTAGTATGAATTCCCAATGGCCTTAAATCAAATTTTAGGGGTAACAAAATTAAAATATGAATATGCAGGTGTAGAAAGAAGGTAGGACTAGGCTGCTAGAGTATGTGGGACGTTGTTAATGCCAGCGGTGGTAAGGAAACAACTGTTTGTAGGGAAACCTGACCAATTCTTTGGAATCACGTCCATTTGGAGTCATGAGACCCAGCCTAAAGCAGTGTTGAAACTCCGCCCAGAAAGGTGCTGGCCGCTCAGACTCGGATTGCTATGGAAACACGGAGCTTTAACATGATTAGGACGGGCTTTACCTATTAATTACCAGCTCCCTATTCCAACACCTAGAAGGCTACAGGTTTTCACATGGTCTGGGTTGAATTTCAAGTTCTTTAAGCTTGACACTCAGAAAGTGTTGTCTTCCTAGCTGTGAACTACAGGATACCACCCACGCCTCCATGGGGCCGGGTCACACGGGGGTGGCCAGTTAAAGACTCGGGACAAGGCGGGGGAACCCGGGGCCCGCAGAGAAGACAAAGCGCGGCCAGGCTGTGGTCACTCACGTCGCAGGTAGCAGCCCTGGGCATGCCGGAAGCCGGCTGACAGCTCCTGCAGGGCCTGCGCCAGCGAGGCCACCACGTTGCGGAGCAGCCGCTCCTCCTGCTCCGAGCAGGTCCTGCGGGCCCGGCTGGGCAGAGCCTGCACCGCGCGCTGGCACCTGTGGAAGAGCTGAGAGGAGCCAGAAGGCCCACTGAGGTTCAAACTCTGCTCAGACCGGCATGGACAGGGCACAGGGCAATCCACACACAGGCCCTCCACACCCCCGCCCCCCAGCTCCAGCTCCTCCTCCTCCCCCTGCCCTCCCGAGTTCCCATTTGCAGACAAGAACCCTGGTGCGGGGGGCATTAATGGAGAATCTGGCCACTGCCCCACTGCCCCACTGCAGAGAGCCGCATCCAAACAGTACATCACCCAGCTTCCCTCAGCACCCTGCCTCTCATCATGAACACCCAGAAGACTTAAATAAGACTGTAAACACTTAACTTTCAACACTGGTTATATTGCTTAAAATGACCCAAACTTAACATCTGATGGGAGAGGATGAGTTTTCTTGGGATACTAAGTTTCTGGGCAAAAACTCCCAACCTCCAATTACGAGGACCACTTTTAACACAAAAAAATGTTTAAACACTAGTCTATGATAGAAGTTATGCACATTTTAAAATCAAATGATTGAACTCAGTAATGCTCTGAGTTTAATTTTCTGAATTAACCCACAGTAGTATGTATGGACAAGTGAAACCCTTCCCACTCTTGCAGACATGGCTGGTAGCGGACTCGGGAGGAGCTCCACCTCCCCTTGCACCTCCTACCCTCCGGCTGGGCAGTGAACCTGGAGGCAAACGTGCTCTGACTTAGGGCTCTTCCAGTGCCGGCGGCTGAGGTGGTCCTGAGGCTGGGGACTGACTTCCTGCCTCACCTGCGTGACCTCTTGGGTGGTTATCTCGATGGCGTGCTCCTGCTCACTGCTGTCATCCAAGGTGGGTCTGTTCAAATGCTGGTCATGCAGGCTGGCTAACTCCTTCATCTTCTGTTTAATCCGGCCAACATCGTACTGGATCTAAACAGACAAAATCACAGAACTCCACCGAGCCTGCCAGGTGCCCCCTGCCCCCGAGACAGTCAGTGACACTCAGGGAGAGTCGTGTCTCCAGCCCACCTGCAGGCTGCCGGAGGCCTGAGCAACGCTCCATCCAGAGCGCCACAGATTCAAACACAGCTCCTCCACGATACACATTTCTTCCATTTCTCTCTGTGGTTCAGGTAGTCACTGCTAAGCCAATCACTCACTCACTCACTCTCTCGCACACACACCTTTCTTGTGCTGTGCACACTGAAGTAACCGAAAGCTAAGGTTTCCCTGGGACATCCATTCAAGTGTAGCCAAATCAGTTTTTATGGCAAATATCTTAAAACATGTTAATGTCATAATCACTTAATTAAGTAAGATAGTGTAAGACTAATATTCAACTTACCTCATCCACTCCATCCACCCACTTAGGAGGTAACCGTTTCGTCACGCCAATGGCTGCTTCTGGATCTAAGCTAATGCCGGACACCAGCGCCATCCGGTCATCAGCAAGCTACAGGGAAACAGAGGAGTGTTACAAACCATTCAGACTCAGGTTAGCTGAGCACGTGCTCACTCCCTTCTAGTGTCTCTCCCCAAGGAAGTACAGAAGTGAGGACCACACACACGTGCCTGACTATCCACATGTTTTTGAGATTGCTGACACTGGAACTGCTTTCCTGTCTTTCCATGCACCGTTTTCTTGGACATACTTATGAACATAAATTTGACTTAATCTGCCTATAGAAATATAACTAGAAAGTCAACAAAAGCTCCTTAAAATACTTCTTAGTACTCAACAATTAATGTGATCAGACAAAAGTAAAAAACAAACAAACAAACAAAAACCACAAAAAGCTAGGCTGGGAAGCAAAGCACAGCACAGGGGATATAGTCAATAATATTCAAATAACTATGTAGGTGCCAGGCCAGCATTGGAAATATCAGAGGGGCACTTTGTAAAGTATATGATTGTCTAATCACTCATGCTGTACACCTGAAACGAGTACAAAATAAAATTAAATGTAAACTGTAATTGAAAATAAAATACTAGGCAGTGAATGGAATCAATGTGCAAAGTTCAAGAGCAGCAGCCTTCACGTCCATACATTCAGCTTATATTGGAAACAGGGCTGATCCAGTTAACTTGGCCATGAGATCATTAACCATGTGTTCAAATGTGTGAAAGAAATGCTTAAACGGTTAGCAAATTATCTACCATTTGGCAAAAGCAATCCTTACAATCTCAATGCAGTCTTACACTGTCATTTCCTTTCTTCGGTAAAATGTCCACCGACAACATTTTCACTTATGTTGAAATAATATGGATAGCCGTTGCTTATTTTACCTATATAATACCCTGCCGTGGAGAGCTCTGAAGAGCGGAAGGAAATCATGGGTTTGGGGGCTGGCTAAGCTGTTCTCTCACCTGGAGGCAGTAAGCAGAAGAAAGGCTCTGGAGGGGCCCTTCGGAGCTCAGAATTTATAAATGCCCGTTTCAAAGGATCCAAACGATGAGGAAAAGAGAATGCAAACAGCATAGAGAAGTACATTTGTAGGTACATTTCCTAAGCACACTGCAAAACTGGGGGGAGAATGTATATTGCCTTTCTTCCCCCCTTTCCTGCATTTACCTAAATTTGTTTTCATTCGTTCAGCAAATACTGTGGCTCTGCCCCCATTCCTCTGAGCGCTCTGTGGGCTCAGGAGGAGCGCACCACAGAAAGACCGCACTGAAGGGACCATGCCCATCACCGATCCGGAGAGCTGGGCCTAGAGTAAGTCACCTGCATTTGCGTCATTTCAGTTTCTAAAACAAAATGGTGTGTCAGCCGCCTCCACTGTCAGGGCCTCTGAGTCCAAGAGGTGGTCTTGTTTGTTTGATTTTAATCACAAAAGCTAGGTGAGCTAGGAACCTATTATTCCAGTTTATAACTGAGGAAATTGGAACTCAGAAAAGTTAAGGACCTTGCCCAAGGCCACAAAGCTATTAGTGACAGATTAAAACCTGCTTGGCCGACTCCAGGAGCCCCATGCACTCCGCCAGCTGCCAATCACTTTGACAGGCCCATGAAATATAACTGCAATTTGCTAAGAAAACGAGGAACCAGAACAATAAATACCCTCAGATTAAAACAACAAGCCCTGCCTGTGTGGCTCAATAGTTGAGCGTTGACCCAGGAGCCAAGAGATCACTGGTTCAATTCCCAGTTAGGACAGGTGCCCAGTTGCACTCTCGATTCCCCTTGGGGGGCATGCAAGAGGCAGCTAATCAATGTTTCTCTCTCATCAATGTTTCTATCTCTCTATTCCTTCTCTCTAAAGTCAATTAAAACAACAACAAAAACAACACAAAGCAGGCCCCACCAGGAACCACAGGACAGGCTCCTGTGAAAGTGTCAACAAAAAGCAGTCTCTCTGACCAACTGCGACGTAGGGAGCAGATGCAGCCTCATCTCCTCGGGCAGGCACAGATAGGGAGAGCAGAGCTGTTTATTCTGAGCTGTTTATTCCCGGGGTCCCGCTGCAGAGCCACCAAGGGGTGGGACTTTGTGGAGGGCACGCTGACCAAGACACAAGGGGCAAACCACTTGCCCAGCACTCGGGTTCTGCCAGCTCTGCAGCCGGTGCTGGACAGAGTTGTTACCTGATTGGAGCAGAACTTGAACTTAACCTCCAATTGTTTATACAAAGCAAAATCTGAAACTGCTAAGGTCATGGGTCACAGTATTGTTACTGTGGTGATTTATTCTCTGACCCACTACTATTTCCCTAGAGTAATAATAATAATTCGTGTATTTACAGTTTTTAAACTCAGGATGTACTGTTTTTACTGTTTACAAAATACACATTAAACTAAAAAAGATAAAGAGATATCTGCAAAGTAACTACTATCAACTTATCTGAAACAAATGAGAAATTTTAAATCTTGTATGAAAAGTCTGTTGAAGCACATTCACCTATTTAAAGCAGTACTTAACTTTATCTTTCAGATGTGGTCCCCCTCCTCCTCCCAAAATGAATGGAAATCCAAACCAGGAAGAATTCACTCTGCTAAGTGTCCTGCCCTCACAGGAAGGGTCAAATGCCAGCCCACCGAGCTGGCCCTTGTCTGCCCACACTCTGCGAGAAGATTTTGACAGAAGGGCTGACTCTTTGAGATTGCAAACTAAATAGGGAATAACCTGTCCCCTTTGTGACAATCCATAGCAGCACTTGCCAACTGGTGGTCCATGAGGTCCGAAAGGTTGGCGACCACGGCCTATAGCAACGACTCACTAGGAACGCAGCAGACTCAGAAGAAAGGTGTCATGTTTTTATTGGTGTGGCTTGTGATCTATATCACAGTTTGTACTATTTCTTTCTTTCTTTTTTTTTTTTTTAAGAGTATGTTTTGGAAAGGAAAAACATAATAGAAGATAAGTGTCAATTATTTAAAAATGGGAGTTAATACGAACATAAACACATTTCAAGTGCAAAATTACCTTTTCAACTTCAGAAATCTCACTTCCCATTTAGAAACCGTTTTTGAAAAAACATTTTAAGATCCAAGACATGTTGCCGTCTTGGTCAATATAGACCTTTAAAAACCTGCCAAATGTTCAATTCTCTTTACTTATCCTTGCTGAACTTCAAGGTCATCTACTTCCAGATATACCTACGATGTTGGTGATTAAAGCTTTTCTTAAATGAACTTCTGCTTCTGAAGTAAAAAAGAAAATCTTTCCATACTTGTTAAATAAGGAAGCTTTTTAAATAAAATTGTACTTGTGAGAATTAAGAACTTACGAACTCTTGTCTCTTTGTTTTTAGCTCTGTCCTTCAGGAACTGGGGGGTAACTATCTGAGCCCATACTCATCTACCTCGCCCTCACCACAGCAGATGCTCATAACATCACACTAAAGGCTTCCTGCGACGCTCACTGGTTATCTCTGCCCTCGGTCCTCTTTAAATGTGACACCTATGACCCTGGAGAGTGCCAGAAGGTGTGGGTGAGTTCTTAATCTAGGGAAGGCGCACAAGCACACTCACTCACACCCTCTTGCTGATAAATATTGCTGTTCCAAACACACAGCCTTCCTGCTGGTAACACCCTGCCTTTATGAGATGCCTGAGATAAGGAACTGTAAGATTAAGGAAATGGCAAAGCTGCCTTTGAGATTAAGGAAGTCAGACACATACCCCCCTTCACACACACACCCCCATCGAAAATAATGAACAAGGTTCAGCCACAATGCACGCTGACCAGCGACAACACTGACAGTTCTGGATGAGCTGTGGCAGTGAACAGTTAAAAGGTCCAGAAAGGTCGGTGAAAACTACAGCCTGGCGACTCTCTCATCCCAGGAAGACAATGGGGAGCACAAGCATCAAGCCCAGGCCCAGAGGCTCCTGACCTCAGGGATGGACTATTTGGCTTAAGAAACCTCACTTCCTTGAGGGAGTGAATAAGCAGGTGGGTAAGAGAATCTGGATGTCAGCACTACACTTTATTTTAAAGCTGTGATACTCTTAAAATAGTGTTTACTTTCTTGATTATGAAACAATAAATGTTCAAAATAGACAGTTTTGCTTTAAATGTGCAAAACTATAGACACAGAAAAATCTGAGAATCATAGCACTCAGATAGAAATGCTGCTAGTCTAACGTGCTTTCCTTGTTTTCTCAACGACTACACCCCCTTAAGAACGCTGAGAGGGAGCAATAATGGCCGCGTGCTGTGGGGGCTGCACTTCCACTGGCTGTTTTGTTAGTCCCAACAACAAACCTGCAGAGGGGACCGGGCACCGCTCCTAGTTTCACAAACATGGACGCCGAGGCCCTGCTGGGCTCAGACTCTCTCAGCCCCCCTCCATCCACTGCACCTGCCCTCCCCAGGCTGGGCTTGGGAGCTTGACATTTATCTCTTAATTACAAGAGATATTTTTATGCAGATTTTTAAAAACCTACAACCTTGAGATGACTCCTCATCAGACAACCAGAAGAAGGAGATGAGAGCAGACAGCAGGGAAGACGGGAAGAGGCGCAGCCTCCTCCTCGGGACACCTCAGTGAGCATTCTGCAGGACGAGGAAGGCTGGCATCCCCAGGGTGCAGGTTTTGAGTTGGTTTCAGAAGGAGAATGACCCACTCATGTGGACAAATGACAGGAAGCCCCAGATGGCTTTCCACGGGAAGCCCAAGTGCTGCGGTCAGGAAAGCCGGCTTAGGCCTCACCTACCAGGGCTTGAGATTAAGGAAGTCAGACACATACGCCCTTCACACACACCCCCATCTAAAACAATGAAGGAGGTTCAGCCACAATGCATGCTGACCAGCGACAACACAGACAGTTCTGGATGGGCCTTCCACCGAACCCACGCAGGAACTGGGGCCGTCAGAAGCACCCGCAGCCTTGGCGAAGCAAGGCTCTGGACACCGTCCCCAGCACCTCTCCAGTGCCTAGCTCAGCACCTGGCACTCACAGCCATGACTACCCAATTATAATTAGCTCAGTGAGTCAACAACAAATGG